ATGAATTTTGGAGAGAAGATTGGGGAATTCTGAATCGAAGGAGAAGGCTTAACCTTCGGTCGAATCGATCCCTTCAATTATTTAACACAAAAATCACAATTACTGTTCCGTCATACACTTTGTTTCAAACGCCAAACCATAAAAACGAAATTCAAACCCTTCTCGATTTCAATTGATAAAATGACAATCAAATTAAAATCCAAAATGTTAACATAATCTTACCTCATGCTCGCGTACTAGAGTCTGGCGATCCCAAACAACTAAGGTTCCGAAGACGAAAACTATAGATGCAACACCAATCGCTTCGGTCTCTTCAAATAATATGGTGGATTTAAATATCTCCACCTGCTCGACAACGATCTGCTGCTCCTCGCCATTGATGATTTCCCTGGAGGCAGATATGAAAGCAGAGATGGATAGTCGATTTCTTGTTCCTGGATCGGTTGAGTAGATGAGAAAGACGGTATGGATTTTTACGTGGACAGAGATGAGAGAGAGATGTTAACGTGGGTGGAGAATTTTTTGGAACGGTTGAATTCCATGGAAAATAAAATCTACCCTCTCCCAAGGAAAATATTATCCTTGTTTTCAAGGAAAATAAGGTCACGTGATCAAAAGTGAGAAAATATTTTTCCTGAAAAAAATTGTCAATCAAACAAGATAAAAATAGAAAATTACGTGGAAAAAACACATTTTTCATGAAAAATGTGTGCAATCAAACGCACCCTAAATGTATATTAGTATCAAATGGTATTTTTGGGACTAAAATTCGTCGAAAAATTAAAAAAGTGCATTTCAGATTTTCCACCAAAACATAGAGTACAAGCTTTCCATGTCAAAAACATAATCCTCCATTATCAAAAATTCAAAATACAAATCAATTCATATATAGTCACTTGTACCGCAAAAGTGTCCCTCGTTTAATACGTTAATTAAACAATATATATCAAAGCACCCTATATTCATGTCCCAAGGGTGTCCCACTCGGACACGACCCTCCACCTTATGAGGAGTATCCGTGCTTCATGGCTTCTCTTTTCTCCGCCAATGATCCCCAATAACTAACCTTGGTGTGTGCAAGCACAGAAAAGAAAAGGAACAGAAAATCATCTCTGTCCATGCTTTTGCTGAATAATCTTCTCTTACCAACTGCATATGAATTTTTCCTGCTCAACTATCTTCACATCAATTGAAGCATTAAGTGAAGCAATTCTTCTGCAAGAACAAATCAATTTAGAAAGGTTAAAGATCATATCAGCTGGATAAATCCATAGACATACTGCAACAATCTTCACTATAGAAATGACAAAGAAAAAAAGATGCTATGATACACCATTGACAACTCGTCCACTTCTACAGACTTGCTTTGTTAGCAAGTTTCAAGGATGACTTCATGTTGAAGACTGACTGAAATACTAGAAACATGAACTAGAAATGTCCAATGAGAAAATAAAACCAAATTCAAACTGGTCTCAGCCTCGGTGTCTTAGGAAATTAATGACTTCAGTCATATACGACCATTACGATTACAGGACCTTCCGTGCACTAATGTTTATGCCAATTCTGTACAGTGTTGAAGCGTTAAAAGTTACCCTTAGATTGAACATCAATCTTTTACTATATGCTTGAGAACTTTCATCCAGTCAGCCTGGATGATAGAAGAATCAGCATTTTCTCCAACTTTTTGCGCTAGTGGAGTTCCTCCTGCAACTTTTAAGGTAAGGATGGAGAAGTGTTTGAAAAGGCTCATTCTATATTTATTGCAGAGTTTAATTAGATCAGGTTGGCTACACAGTTTCTGCCTGTATATTAACATCTGCAATGTCTCTAATTCGCTCACAAACCTTTGTTACACACAAGACAATAATGATGTTGCTCTTGGCAAAATAATGATAATATCTCTATAAAATTTGTATCAGTTACTCACCAGTTGCCTTAGAAACAAGATCAATAGCACCATTTGGACATATATGGCATTCCCTATAGCTCATTGAACAGTTTAATCAGGAAATTGGGCTAACATTTCCCTGAGACAGCGAATTGCCACCTGCTCCGATACCAAATTTGATGTACTCAGAGGAAGAAGAGATAGAAGCAAAAACAGAGGAAAAGAATCATCCAACAAGAGAAGGAATTGACTCCACTTGGCATTGCTACTCGCTTACCACAATGCAACCAAGCTATACAGTTGATTGATAAAAAGAAGTAAACTCTTAAGACCCTATCAAGTACTTCCTTTTCTTCCAAAATCTGATCCTTTTGAGTTGATTTTCCCCAAAATAAAGTTACAGGCGTACCTCTCTAGGTTGACACTGCGGAGCAAACACTTCCCCAAATACAAATATCTAGATATTGAAGTTCACTTCTAAGACACGTCCAGCACACAGAACTCTATGAACTCAATTTAATTCAATGATTCATTATACATATAAACATTGATACTAACAAATGGTATTTTTATTTGTCCCATTGAAAAATTATTTATGCTCCAGCATCACACCCAAAAGGTTCAACTGTGGCAAGATGAGTTTTTCTAATCAAGGACTCCGACAAAATAAGGGGAACCAATCCACGTTTTTGCAGCATATACACGCTCCCTGCTTGTATTTCACACACACTCTTCTTTAATATATCATCTAGCAGTTCAGTACACACTGCACAATATGGATAAATAATGATTTACGGATAAAGAGAGAGTGAGAATATATGGACGGACAAATTAATTTGCAATGCAAGCAAGAAGTAATACAGTAACATTTATAGTCAAAATAATCACTTACATGCAGGTCATATACAGAGCAACAAAAGAAAGAATTGTACATTCACATTTCACTGCAAGCGTCCTATTTCTTGTTCACCAGCTAGATTCGACTAAGTACAGCCATTAAGCAACTGAGATTGAAGTGAAGCCGGATCCAGTTCCCAACAATCCTTAGGAAGGCCTGAAGCCTCATCTCCAGAAAGTTTTCTTGCAGGAATTTGATGTGAAAATAGCTTAATATCATCTTTTTCTAGCAATTTAATAGCAGTAGCCCCAACTTCTCTTCTCTTAAAGATTGTCCTGAACCCATGAACCTTCTCAAGGTAACCAATACTCAAGCCATAAACGTCGCTGAAACTAGTTAAGCACACAACAATATCGAAACATGGCTTATCCATAACCCCTTGGTTCATTCCTTCAGCATTTAATGTGTTTTCATTATAGAGCGCCCAAACTGAGCCCTTCTTTGGATAAATCCTATACAGTTCTCTGGCCGCTCTTTCACAGTCCACAGCATGAGAAAACATGTTGAGATACTTAACTGAAGTCTTCCTAGAGACCTTAAACCTCCCACATGAAACATGGAATCCCGTTTTCACTGAACCAGTCCACACCTCATTACCATTATTTTGAAAGTCTAACCAACTTATTGTCACCTCAAATGGATTCACAGAAACAATTTCATCAACCAGTGCATAATGCCTTGGCATTCCATCGTCATCATCGTATACCGCCCACACTTGTCCTTTCTTAAAGCTCCTCCCTCTTCTATCCTTGTCAAAATCATAGAAATCTGAATCTTCCACGTGCATTATCTCCAAATCTACCTTTTTCGATGCGCTAATCCCCTCAATGTCTAAATCCACAGTACTCTCTAAAGCTCTTATTTTCATAATATCCAAACAGTTTTCCTTCGAAATCCTGCTTCTCGCCCTCTTCTTGCTTACGTTCACCATTTCATTTACCTTCTCTTTTTCCTTTTGTCCATTCTTCTCCTTCAAAATCAACTTCTCCTTTTCTCGTTCCTTTTCTTTCACCTTCAACTTCTCCTCCTCCACATCTGGTCTTTCCTTAACATCATCCAACTTCAACTTCTCCACATCTGCCTTCTTCTTCACCAACATTTGCATTTGAGCTAAAGTCATCATTTCTTCTTCCCGAGTCTTTGCTCTCTTGGCCCTTTCACTTTCTACTGCTTCAACCTCAATGCTTCTCATCTCCTCACCCTTATCTCTTACCTTCCCCCCTACTATCGTCGACCTTAATTCCTTAATTAAAACACCATCACTATTACTCGAATCCCCATTCTTTTCCAAATTTCCCACCTTTTCTACTCTTTTCAACGTCAGTCCACCATTCCCACGAGTACCCCTTCCACCAATATTTCTGACCTTCCCCCCTCTCTTTGACCTCAAATTAATGGCCAACACACCATTTCCACCCACATTTTTCTTTACTTTCTGCCCTGACCTCTCCAACGACTCTGCAACACCACTAATTTTCTTCCCCCCAAAACCACCTTTCTCCAAATCACCTAGTTTCCCACCTTTCTTAACCCTCTCCCTGATCCTAACACTAATTCTGGTTGGCGTGGCTCCATTCTCTTCCACACCTACATTTTCTTCATTTTCGGAATTCTCCTGGACCTCCACAGCCTTAAAGCTCTTCTTACACCGAGGACACATCAAATTATGCCCCAAATACTTCTTCTCAAACTGATGCAACAACCTACAAGTCGAGCACGCCGTCCAAAACGTTTCTTCTATTCTCTCAGCTCCTTCACCTGCCTCTGTCTGCATCGCAATCCTAAGCCTCATATCAAATTCTGTCCTCCTAATTTTATCTGACAAAACCCGAACCGCCTCAGCAACCAACTTAAACGCCTCTTCAGATGCCGCAAACGGGTTCTTATCCGGATGCAGTGTCAAAGCCAATTTCTTGTACTGTTTCTTGATTGTATTGATGTGTGCAAAGCGCTCCACCTGCAGAATCTTGTAATAATCGGGAGGAGAGAAAGAGTTGCTTTCTGGNAAAATTGTTTATCAAATATCACCCATTATTCTCCGTTTGACCAATCTTTGATGGTCGAAGAATCCAGATATCGTCCAGACACTTGGGTTGTGTTCATCCATGTTAGATTTTTATGTATTATATTGTTATGGAGAGTGAACGTTCAGTAGGATAGATTGACAATAACAAATAGGATATCATGTGTTGACTTGTTATAATATGTTTACCATTAAATTTTAAATCTTTTCATTTGCTTCATCGAATCTATAATACTCGTTTCAGATGTAATATTATCTTACTTTGATCACAGTTTGTTTACTGTGATCAGACCACGGCAAGCAGCGGTCCATGTGTCCATGGTTTGGCTGCGGTTCATTCATTTATATTTCAGTATCTATTTCAAGTTTTCTCATGGTTTTGATCATTTTTATCCAAATTTTCAATATTGATCCGGTAACTTTTCAAAGCTTCACATTTGTCCCCGAACCTGCTAAAATTGGTTGTCCTCAAGTTCCAAAAGTGTGCAAATCAGTATTCGAACTTTTCTCAAGTCTAATTCCACTCTCCTAACTTGTGACTTTCCTCCAATTGCTTAATGCTTCTTATTAATTTCATGTAATACGGTTAGTCTACAATTGACACAAACCGACTTCAATTAAGTTCTAAATCTTCAAAAAAAAAAATAAAAAAAATAAAAATTCTAATACCTTCAAGTCCAAGTTTTACTTACACTAAAATAAGTAGAAAATTCATTCAATTTACAAATATTTATCAAGTTTTTAAGCACGGATAAGCGTATAAAATATACTTATTAGAAAACCTTATCAAAAAAATAAATTACAAATAAAAAATAAGGAAACCTTCACCAAAAGAAGTGTTTTCGAATGGATTACAGCTAAGAAACTTTTATAAATTCAACATTTATGATTTTATGATTTTTTTAATTTCACATTGCCAAATTCTCCCAATTTTTGCAAAAGTTTAGGTTCTTTCTCCGTATTGAATTGAGATTGTTGTTTTGTGGATGCATACATACAACTTCCAAGATTGAAAGGGGCGTGTATGCGTAAGAAGAGACTCAAAAGGAAAAGTATTGACATTTTGCATCCACTAAACAATAGTTCCTATCCAATATGGAGAAAATGACCCAATTATTGCAAAAAATGGTTGGCAAATATAAAAGCCTGTAATTCCCAATTATGTGAAGTAGCTATTCCAACCGTTCATCTTTCAATAATGAATTAAGTTGAGTTGTCAAAAATAGTTTGAGACAATCATTGACCAACACTCACATGTGCATGAGACCCGCATAATTAAAAATGCCAAAAAAATGTTTCCAGCCTATTGTGAGTGTGCTGTCTGAAAGAGTGTCAAACTCTTTCTGGCAGCATAGCATGGTCGTTCAATAATTACACATTTTAATATTAAAGTGCACGACACTTGAGATTATTTGTCTACAAGCATGTTGGAGATCAATCCTAATTTTCCCTCCCAAGTTTCTGTTATATTAATCGTCTATGCCATGCCTTCACCTATACAAACTTTACTTAAAAGAGAAAATTTATGACCTAATTTACACATTGTATCACTTCATCGCTTCTCTATTTTCTCACCTCTCTTTGGCATTCGGCTCCTTGCCATTTCTTCAAATTCTTCTTTATTTGGTAATTTACACAAATATAAACTATTTCCAAATTTTTAAATCAATTTAAGAAAAAACGACTGTGTTATATTCAAGACACAATCTTATCAATATGCGAACTGGTTTCGTAGATGTAATTTTGTTTCAAGCTTTTGTAATGGTGGTAGCTTTAAATAATTCTCTATCTTCTCCCCGCGTAATTTTGGAGGTAAGATTGGTACCTTCCTTTTTTGTACTTTTTCAATAGACAAGGCAGGAGTCATTGTCAAACCTCCTAACTATATAAATATGTAATTGTTGTAAATGGTAAATTTATTAAGGTTTACAAGTGAATGACAATTGTATCTTTACAACCATAGAAATTATTATCGTTTTATCCTTGATTCTTCTCTATAAATATATGATTTTGATTCTTAATAAAATATACACAAATCTATTGACTTTTCTTTGTTTTATTCTCTTTTCATAATACGTTATTAGCTCGAAAGTTTAATTCTTCAAAATTTAGAAAATATTCATGATGGATTGTCAAGATACTTGTTTGATTGATAGTGTAACTCACGAACCATTCTTCAAGACAAAAAAAAAAAATTTGGACTTAACATTAGCAGAAAATAATGTTAATACGATATCAAATGCATCAAATATCGTTGAAAGCTCCGAAAAAACTTGTATTATTTTATCAAATAATAAAAAATTATATATTAACGATGCACTTTATTCTAGCAAATTCAGAAAAAATTTCCTTAGTTTTATAGATATCCGTTGCAATGAATATTATATTCAGGCGATGCAATAAAATAATGTTGAATATTTTTGTATAACTTCTTTTGTATCTGATCAGAAGCAGATAAAAGAAAAAATTCATGCACTCCCATCTAACATTTATTACACATTTATAAAAATTGTTGAATCAAATATTGTCACGGATCAGAAGTTCTTTGACCAAAAAAGTTTTATACTTTGACATGGTCGACTTGGACATCCAAGAGTTATAATGATGCATCGAATATAAAACAACTTCAAGGACATCCTTTAAAAAATCAAAAAATTCTTTTACCTAATGATTTATTCATGTGTATCTTGTTCACAAGGCAAGTTAATCATTAGATCTTTGATTACAAAGGTCAATATTGAATCTCCAACTTTTTTGGAAAGAATTCATGGAAATATATATGGGCTAATAGACCCATCATATGGATCATTTCATTATTTTATGGTATTAATTAATTCTTCTAGTGAATGGTTACATGTTTGCTTACTTTTCGCTATGAATGTAACATTTACTAGACTACTTGCTCAAATCATAAAATTACGAGCTCAATTCTTCGATTACTCAATTAAGAGTATTCATCTTGACAATATTGATTAATTTATATCACAAACATTCGACGATTATTATATGTCAATTGTTATTGTAATTAAACATTCAGTTACGCATTTTCATATATAAAATAGTTTAACGGAATCGTTTATTAAATATCTACAACTTATTACTAGACCATTACTTATGAAAACAAAACTTCCAACTTTTGTTTGAGGTCATGCCATATTACATGCTGCAGCATTAGTTCGTACTAGACCAACTTCCTATTATCAATATTTATCTTTGCAATTTGCATTTGGTCATGAACTTTATATTTCTCAACTACGAGTTTTTGGTTATACTTTCCAAGTTCTTATTTTACCCCCACAACGTAATAAAATGGGTCCCCATTGAAGACTTGTGATTTATGTGGATTTTGATTTATCATCCATTATTAAGTATCATAAACCTTTAATAGATGATTTATTTACTGCACGTTTTGTAGATTATCATTTTGATGAAATGATTTTTTCAACTTTGAGAGGAGAAAAACTATATACCGAAAGACTAAGTAAAATTTCTTGGAATGATACAACTCATCTCATTTCGATTTCCTCAATAATTAATGTGAGCAAGATATTAAAAAGACCATTTATTTGCAAAAAGTTACAAATCAATTACTTGGTGTATTTGTTGACACAAAAAGTGAAAAAGTCATATATTTCAGTAAAAAAAATATTCTAGAAAAAATTGATGTCCCTAAAAGACAATCTGTTGTAGCAAATGAATTTCAAATACGTCAGAAGCGTGATCAACCAGTGATTCAAAAGACTCTCTGCCTCGAAAAAGAAAAGTACAAGAGAAAAATCAATTAAAAACTTCGAAAGAAGAAATATTAGAAAAGATTGATCAATCAAATATTGAAAATAGGTTCCTAAAGAACCACAAGCGTCCGAAAATAATGAGATTTCAATAAATTATATGTTATCTCATAAATTATAGGAATGAAATAATGTTGTTATCGACAATATTTTTGCCTTTAATGTGACACTTAATATTATGCAAAACGAGGATCCTAAACCACAATCAATTAAAAACTGTTGAAATAGAATTGATTGGACAAAATGGAAAGAAACCATACAGACGAGATTGAATTCTTCAGAGAAATGAAAAATGTTTGGACTAATAATTCGAACACCAAAAAATGTAATCCCTGTTGGATATAAATGAGTTTTTATACGAAAATAATGAAATTAAAGATATAAAGCCCAACTCGTAGCTCAAGATTTTTCATAAAGACTAGGAATTGATTATGATGAAACACATTCTCTCGTAATGGACACTATGACTTCTAGATTCTTAATTAGTTTGATTGTATCACGAATGCTTTATATGCACCTTATGGATATAGTAAATACCTATTTGTATAGTTCACTATATATATATATATATATATATATATATATATGAAAGTCTAGGAATGAAAATGTAATCCCTGTTGGATATAAATGAGTTTTTATACGAAAAAAATGAAATTAAAGATATAAAGCCCGACTCATTGCTCAAGATTTTTTACAAAAACTAGGAATTGATTATGATGAAATACATTCTCTCTAATAGACACTATGACTTCTAGATTCTTAATGAGTTTGACTGTATCACGAATGCTTGATATGCACCTTATGGATGTAGTAAATACCTATTTGTATGGTTCACTTGATAGTGATATATATATGCACGAGAACCATCTTCTCAATTAAATTGTTAAGATCATTATATGGAATGAAACAATTCGGGTGTACGTGGTATAATCGCCTTAGTGAATATTTGTTGAAGGGGGATTATAAAAATGACGATGTCTACCCATGTATTTTCATAAAAGAAAACAATTGTAATTGTAGTAGTTTATGTAGATGATTTAAATTTAATTGGAACTCCTAAAAGGATCGACAAAACTATTGATCATTTGAAAAACGAATTTAAGATGAATGATTTGGGAAAAACTAAATTTTGTCTTGGATTGCATAATGAACATTTCGTCAAAGGATTATTTGTTCA